TCAGACGTGTGCTCTTCCGATCTCCCCAAAACCCCAAAACCCCAAAACCCCGAGAATATCGTTTGGGAAAATAGATTAAAATTGATCAAAAATTAGTAATGAGCAATTAAATATAAAAACAAGTTATTAATAATCTGTGAAATAGTTGCTGCAAAAATGAACGATGAAGACATAGATTACAATAAATATGAAAATTTTAGAGATGACTGAGATGTGACCAGATAAGACTTAATCAGCTCTACACTTCCACTTTTAGTTTAAAGTCCGAGAAAAATCACTTAAATAGATAGCCATGATGAACCTTTCATTGAGGATGATGATGAAGATGAAATGAAAGATAAAACTAATTAGAGCTCAAGTTCTGCAGTGCAAACCATTGCAACAGGTTAGCAAATTATTGACTAAACTTAAAAACATAATTAAGTGAAAGACTAAGCTTAAAATTTTATGCAGAATCATGAAAATCCTAAGATTATTGAGAAGATAGGAGATTTGATGCTAAGTTTGTAATATGGCAGCAAAATATTAGTGAGATGTGATGGATTTGTTCAATTATCAAATAATGTTGCTGAGGGAATTAATGATTATTATAAGCAAATATTGGATGATTAAGATCTAGTAATTAGATAGACAATATATCATCAAATGAACAACTATAATTTCTGTCTAAAACGAATTGATCAGTTTTTATTGAAAGCTAATTTTCAATCCGAGATGGAAATATTATTAATGAAGTTAATATTTGAAGCAAACCGCTTGGAAATTACAAAAATTTGCATATATATCAATTCATTTATAACTTTACTCAAAGAACTTAGTGTATTTGATTACAAGGCGAAATTAGAGGAATTAGCTTTTATTATTTATGAAATTACTTACTAATATTCCTTGGCATTTGAGTTCTCGGATTTTAGTCTAAAAGAAATAAGTTTATTTTTTGAAATAGAGTAGGGAATTGAATTCTATCTTTTTATGAATAAATTTAAACCAATAAGAAAAAATCAAAGCAGAAAAGACTTAAAATAAAATTTTGGAAGGAAAATTGATATTTAGGGAACAAATGATGATTTAGCTCTAGCTTAAAATAAAGCAAGTAATCTTTAATTTAGCGCATATAGAATTTAATAAAAATAATAATAGGAGCTCTAAGATGCATTTTAAGTCTAATGTGAAAAGTGTAATATTTACATAGATGAAATACATCAAGCATCTCATTTTTACGCTCATCAAGTAGATGAAGAAGTAAATGGTGTTGATTAATAATTTTAAGTTAACAAAATTAAAGAATAAGTGAAGGGGTAGTTGTTAGTAATTGATGCTACCCTTAAATAAGCATAAGATATGATTTTTATGTGATCAAGATGCTTTATAAAGTTAGCTAATCCACATTAGATTCCAATGATTTAAAATTGATTTAAGTAGCAATGTATGATTAAATTAACTTAATGATGAGATAACTCTAATTTATTCTTCTAATTTTCAAAAATTAATTAAAATCAGAAAGTAGATTAAGCGAATTAATCTGAAAGAAAAGCTTTTCTTTTTTCAATTTCAGTAATACCTTTAGTTTATACTAGTACTTAATACTCATGACTTTTAATATCCTTAGCTAAAGATAAATCCTCTATCCCTGACCATTCAGTCACTCTTTTACCCTCTAGCAAACTCTTCATAGACTCTAAATCTCCATTAACTTTAATGAAGATATCAACAATATCCTCAACATTACTCTTATACTGCTTCATATACTTAAGCAAAATATGATAAAGTTAGTCAAATATTTCAGAGTCCTACAACTTGTCTTGCTAATTCCATAGTTCATCAAAATCTATCTTAGAATCTATTGCATAGACATGTCTTTTAATTTAAATAAGATTTTTGGGGAATTTTTAGACTTCTATCTTTAGGGATTTGCCAAATATTTTGCATAAAATATCCTAATTTTCATAGATCTTTCTAAAGTTTATCCCAGGAAGTTAGAGATCGCTTTTGAGGGTAGTGGTGTAGCCACATTAATCTAGAATTTGAGGGCTAAATTTATTAAGACAAATAAATTCCTATTCTATTTCATCAAACCTATCAGAGAAGTTATTCCTAAGTGACCTTCCTGAATAGAAAAACTGAACAATGGCGTTTAAGTCTACATTTAATCGAGATTTTTTAATCTTTTTCAATAACTAAAAAATTTCTTTATAAAATAAAACTTACATTTTTGTGTTTTTATTTAGCCGGATCATCATCTGAATCCTCAAACTTGTTTTTATTTCCAATAGTCTTAGGCTTAATCTTCTTAGTAAATGTTAATTATGACGATTTCTTTTCATCATCCATTTATATTGCTGTACAAACGAGAGTTCCGTTATTATTTTTAGCAGGTGTGACCATTTAACTCTCATTTTTCAATAAGTTAGAATCAATGTCTTGTAAAGAGAGGTGAGAAGAAACATGTGACTGACTTTGGACATCATCTTCGCAAGCAGCTATTTCATTGTAAATATCATTATCAATTTCATTGGAAGCTTTACTTTTCTATTTACTACTTTCCTTTTCATCTTCAGAGGAACTTTAGTAGTTCATGAGCTTGTCAAGATCATTTAAATCGTAGCCGACAGCATTGCTATACATTTCCTATTCTCTTAGCTCCTCATCAGCCATTTATTCAAGCAAAGTCATCGAATTTTGGTTCTAGTCTTACATATAAATACTTTTAATTTATTTAGAAATTTACAATATTTGGTCATTATTATCTTGTGGGGTTTTGGGGTTTTGGGG